TGATCATTCACATAAACTTACAGGACCATTGTCTGCCAACCCTATATATGATCTTGGATACACTCCCCATTTCATAGACATACCTAATTGTTTAGCCTGTCCGCCCATCTATCCACCCATATACTCATGCTTGCCTTCACTGACAACGTAGTACTGTATGTTTGAAAAGGTTCATATTTGTTGTCTGTACCTCCCATGTACCATGTATTATGTTGAAATAATTTTAGACTTGCTGAAAAGTTGCAAAAATAGTACAGATTTCCCTGTACCCATTGCACAGCTTCCCCTATGTTAACACCTTATGGAGCCATAGTACAATGACCAAATCCAGGATGTTAAGATTGATACAATGCTATGTACCAATCTGGAGACTGTATTTGAATTTCACCCATTTTCCCACTCATAACCTTTTTCTGGTCTTGGATCGAATCTGGGGTCCCACATTGCCTCTAGTCCTCATGTCTCCTCCAATCTGTGACAATTCTTCAGTGTTTCCTTTTCATTCATGACCTTGACACTTTGGAAGGATACTGGCCAGTCATTTTGTAGAATGTTTCTCACTTTGAGAACCCCAGAATTTTAGATGCAGATAATGTATGCTCATAGTATAAAATTCAAAAGAAAGCATTTTTGTTATTAGCTGCATCAGCACATTGATTTTTCAGATTGTTTGTTTCTACAGATAATGTGTTGGCTATAAGAAATTTGGACAATAGTGGGAGATGTGGGGTAACCAGCCAAATCTCCTTAAACCCTACCTCTCAGAGCAGTCACCATTGACCTTTTAGTGACCATCCCTGTGGACCTTTCTCCATGAGTTCACATGAGGCTGAATCCATGGATATCTTTTCCCACAATTTGGCACCTGCTGGATTTGCCATTCCCTGACCTGCCTTTCTACCCAGAGACCTGTCCTGGTCACTGTTCCTCATCTTGAACTTGAGTCTCGGAGCACCTTCCCTCTTGGCTACCCAGGATGAAATGACCCATCATTCACTCCCCTGTGGGGGACATTTAGGATAAGCTAATCCATTCTCTGTGCTCAGATCTGTGTAAGAAGAAAAAAAGCTGAAGGTGTAGCGTGTTGGCTTGCTTCCTGGCTCTGGTTGCTCTAGGGAGAGTCCCTTTCCCTCTCTGTGTCTCAGTTGCAATACTTGTGATGTAGAGATTTGAGGATTTCTCAGGCCCAGGGCAAAGGAGGGCTGAGTATCACTTCTTTTTCCAGGCAGGGCGCCCAGTCTACCCAGGATGAGGTTGCTGCCTCTGCCATCCTGACTGCCCAGCTGGATGAGGAGCTGGGAGGTACCCCTGTCCAGGTGAGCCTGACCTACTGCCTTTCTGGGCCTTGTTTGATTGTCCACCATCCATCCATCTATCCACCCACCCAATCATGTAACAGATATTTATTTACCCAGGGCTTCCATGTGCCTGACACTGTCTGTAGCAGGGAACTCACAGACATTGTTGGCCTTGCCTGATGGAGTTTATAGTGTAATGGGGACATAGTCATTCAACAAACAAGCACACGAATGAATGAACACACTGTTGTAAGCAGTGATTGAAAATGATAAGGTTCTGTGAAAGAGAGTAGCAGCAGAGGCAGCATGGAGGTATAGGACATAAATTCCAGATAGGATGTAACTGGATTAGTGAATGCATCCCTGGGAAACAGATTCTTCAGCTAGGGCTAAAAGATGAGCAGGAGTTGACCAGGCAAAGAATGAAGGAAAGCACATTCCAGGCAGAAGAAACAATCTATACAAAGTCCCTGAGTAGGAGAGTATTAGGGCGAGGGGGAAAGTGCCATGACAAGACGCCGTAGAGATGCTAGAGGGACCAGAACACCCAGAGTGCATGGTGAGGACGTTGACTTTGATCCTAAGAACAACAAGAAGCTTTGGGATGATGAATCTGACAGGAAGGGATTTATAGGTTTAAAAGGTCACTCTTGCTATAGTGTGGGGCCCTGGAGGGCAGGAGAGCAAGGTCCAGGAGATGTGGAGGAAGCAGACAAGAATTCTGCTTCCTGCACCCTACCCTTGGAGTGGACATGGCTTAAAGATTTGGATATGGGGTTGGTGCCTTAACTTTTGTCTCTGACAGTGGTGTCTTTCTGGGTGCCAGACAATAAGGGAGATGTTCAATGTCTTATCTCATTTTATCCCAACAACAGCCTTGGGAGCAGCATTCCTGGGCCCATTTTACACGGGAAGAACCTGAGAGGTTGAGTCAATATCAAGTCCTCACTGTCAGGGTGGAGCTGGGATTTCAGCTCTAATCAGGCAGTGGTGGGTCATGGTGAGAAGTTACCACAATAAACCAAACATACACATGAGATTAAGTTCTAGCTTTAATTAGCCAGGGCTACAAATCTCATCTGAAACTCTGGGCACACAGGGCAGGAGCAGATGTGATATATCTCAGTGTAGGCCTCCTTGCCCCCTTCCTTTCCACCACCCAGCCCCTGACTGCAGCCTGCATCTGGTGAGCCACAGGCTGTTCAGGAAGGGGTCTCTCCAGGTCAGGAGAGCTCTGTTCTCACCACTCCACTGGCTTTCATACCCAGGGATGACGTCATTATCCTAGAAGAATGTCTACAAGCAATCCCCATGCTTCCATTTAAGGGAATATTTGAAAACATGGGCTCTCCTGGTTCTTGGACCAGAATCAGGGTCAGCAAGCAGGTCCCAATGGGAGGCGAGGGACAGCCCAGATAGTACCCTGGGGAACTCAGTGCTGTCTCCAACCTTCCTGGAACTCCTGTGTCCCTGTCCAGTGCCTGTATGCTGACTGGTCCTGTTCCATACCACAGAGACACAAGTGTGATGGCCTCATTTTGGGGATGGGGTGGACCTAGGCCATACTGGCTGGGTGTGGGAAGGGTTAGCCCAGTACCTCACAGAAGACTAATGCCTTCTCCTCCTTCTCTGACTTGTTCTTTTGTCTGCCTGCAGAGCCGTGTGGTCCAAGGCAAGGAGCCTGCCCACCTCATGAGCCTATTTGGCGGGAAGCCCATGATCATCTACAAGGGTGGCACTTCCCGTGATGGCGGGCAAACTGCCCCTGCCAGTACTCGCCTCTTCCAGGTCCGGGCCAGCAGCTCTGGAGCCACCCGGGCCGTTGAGGTAATAATGCCCAGGCCTGGACCACAGGGAGGGGGCTGGCCTCTCTGGAACTTCCCAGGCTTGATGGCCCAATCTCTGGGCAAAGGGCCCTGAGTTTGGGTGAGGTGGTTAAGCAGCTCTTTGTGCTTTCCTGCAATGCCAGTGTAATTGTATGTCTTAGCCTTCTTCCTATTTCTCTTTTTTTTTTTTAGGATTTGGGTGAAGATTTACAGAGTAAATTCACTTTTCATACAGCAGTTCACATATACTTTGTCTCATGTCATTGACCAAAATTTACAATGCAGCAGCTCCCCTCCTACTTCCTCCCCATAGTTACCTCCTCCCAGTGTCCATCCCTTCATACTCTTCTGCACCCTGAGCTATCTCCCTGTGCATAAGCAGCCCTTCCTTCTCCCATGATTGTTCTCTCCAGGGCGTGTGTCTACTTGAGGTAAATGTTTAACTCACATGCCTGTACTTTGTTTGGCTGGAAACCACAGTTGTGGGTTCAATTCCAGACCTGAAGGGCAGCTAGGGGCCATAGTCTCAGTGGTTACACCAGGCTCTATTGGACCAGCAAACCTGGTCCCCACCTTCTTTTTTTTTTTTTTTTTTGCCTCCAAATGATTTTGAGTTTTGTTCCACATTGTTCTCCCTCTCTATGCAGGATCTCCTACATCCCTTCCAAGTGGATGGCAGTGGTAGCTGGGCACCATCTAGTTCTTCTGGTCTCATAGTTGTATAGGTTGCAGATCGGATGGTATACCAGTCGCTAGGACTGATTGTTTCTATTAATTTTGGTTTTCTTCTTTCTTCTTGATGAGGAGAGACCCATTGTTGCATCTAGATGGCAGCTTGCTAGCTTTTAAGGTCCCAGTCGCTACTCACCAAAGTAGTAGGTGGAACAATGTTTTGTATAGTATGTTATGCCAATTGAGCTTGATGTCCCCTGCGACTATGGTCCCAAGCCCACAGGATCAACTACTTGGTCCCTCTGGGTAGCTGGCTGTGACCAAGTAATGACCATAACCTTGCCCCTTGTCAGCTCTACTATACACCTGGGAATTCTGATCATTCACATGAACTTATAGGCCCATTGTCTGCCAACCCTATATATGATCTTGGATACATTCTCCATTTAGACATACCTAATGTTTAGCTTGTTCACCTATCTATCCGTCCATATACCCATGTTTGCTTTCACTGACAACTCAGTACTGTATATGCAAAAGGGTTCATATTTGTTGTCTGTACTGCCCATGTAACTCTCTATGTCTTTCTCATCCTCAATGCTGCCATATTGGTCACTCACATTTGGTACATTGCCCTTCTCTTCACCCAAATCAATATTTATCTCTATCTATCTAACAGCATTCCCTCCCCTCCCCTCCCACCCCTGGTAACCAACAAAGAAAATGTCCTCCAATATATAAACCTTTCCTTAACTTTTACAATAACGGACTAATACAATATTTGTCCTTTTGTGACTGACTTATTTCACTCAGCATAATGTCCTCCAAGTTCATCCACGTTATGTGGTGTTTTGCAGATTCTATATTATTCTTTAGTGTTGCATAGTATTCCATTGTGTGTATGTACCATAGTTTGGTTATCCATTCCTCAGTTGTTGGACATCTAGGTTGTTTCCAAGTTTTGGCTATTGTAAATAGTGCTGCAATGAACATCGGTGTGCATATATCTGTTCTTGTTATGGCTCTTACTTCTTTAGGGTATATACCTAGTAATGGGATGGCTGGGTCAAATGATATTTGTATTTCCAACTTTTGACCTTCTTCCTATTTCAAAGATGCCTGGTTCCTCTTATACACCTTCCATAATGGACAGCTCACTAACTTCCAGATAGTCCATTCTGCACAATCCGGACACTGTTCCTGACTGCATTTTCAGTTGGCAACCATCATCTTCATGGTGGAAGGAGGAGACCTGGAGATAATCCTCCAGGATGGCCTGAGCAGCCTAGAGGAGAACCAAGACTATCACTTCCTTTGTTCTGGACATTCAACTTCTGTTATGCAGTGCAGAATTCTAGAATCCTCTTGGCTAGCCACAGTGCATTAGTGACTCACGGGAGCCAGCTAAGGCCTTCAGTGTTCAAAGTCTGTACCCTCTACGCTGGTGGGGTGTGTTTCCTCAAGGCCTCTCCTGCTGCAGTCTCCTGGGCTGTGAGGAGGGGGCTGAGGACTTTTGGTCTGGTTCCTGATTGACTGTGTCCCTCCCAGGTGATCCCTAAGGCTGGTGCGCTGAACTCCAACGATGCCTTCGTCCTGAAGACCCCCTCAACTGCCTATCTGTGGGTGGGTGCAGGGGCCAGCGAGGCCGAGAAGAAGGGGGCCCAGGAGCTGCTCCAGGTGCTGCGGGCCCAGCCCGTGCAGGTGGCAGAAGGCAGTGAGCCAGGTACGAGTCAGGGGTGGAAGGCCTGCTGCTCTCCCAGGACTCCAGTTGTTGGGTTTCTCTCCCTTCCTTCCGCCCTAGGAAGCTCTATATCCCTGTCCCTCTTCAGTGCCTGCCACCTAATGGATTAAGATAAGGCCTGTGGTCAGTAAAAGGGTGGCCTGCAGGAGTTAGGGAAAGGAGAGCTCAGTGTGGGCTGGGCAGTCAGTGAAGGCTATTTGAGGATGCTTTGAAAGACTGTGGGCAGGTTAACAGCCTCAGAGGGGCAGTGGTCTCTCCTAATCTGTGGAATCTGTGTTCAGAAATGCCACAAACTTGTTTTCTCTAGAACATAAGGTCAGGACCTCTTTCTTACGGCAGCCTTCAGTCTTTCTGCTGTGACTTTGAGCACAGCCACTCTAGCTTGATGTTTAGCAGAAATGGGAAGAGTAGCTTGATCACAAGTTATGGGCTTAAGCATAGCAAGGATGGTGAGGAGGTGCACATGAATGGGCAGCATTTTGTTCTGTTGTGTGAGTCGCTATGAGTCGGAGCTGACTTGACAGTACCTAACAAGAAGCAGCTTGGTCTAAGAGACCCTGAGTGGTGCACACGGTTAGCACACTCCGCTGCTAACTGAAAGGTTGGACATTTGAGTTCCCCTGGAGGTACGTGGGAGCTCTGGTAGCATAGTGGCTAAGGCACTTGACTGCTAACCAGAAGGCTGGCGGTTCAAACCCACCAGCCACTCCTCGGAAGGAAGATGGGGCAATCTACTTCCATAGTGATACTGCCTCGGAAACCCAAGGAGGGGTCACTATGAGTCGGGTCCGACTCGACGGCACATAACAACAACAACAACAGAGGTACGTACTTCCAAAAGTCAGCCACTGCAAACCATGGGAGCACAGTTCTACTCTGACACACATGAAGTCGCCATGAGTCAGAATTGACTTCACAGCAACTGTTTTTCTAATGCTTGGTCTAGATAAGCCCTGTCCAATAGAACCTTCTATGAGGATGGGCATATTTATATCTGCCATGTCCAATTGGGTAGTCATCTGAAGGAGCCTTGGTAACACAGTGGTTAAATGCTTGGCTGCTGACCAAAAGATCAGTGGTTCAAACCCACCAGGTGCTCTGTAGGAGAAAAATGTGGCAGTCTTCTTCTGTAAAGATTCTGTAAAGATTTATAGCCTTGGAAAGCCTATGGGACAGTTTTGCTCTGTCCTATAGGGTTGCTGTGAGTTGGAATCAACTCCATAGCAACAGATTTTGCCATATGTGGCTGCTGAGCGCTTGAAATGTGGCTAATATAACTGAACGGCTGAGGAACTGAGTTTTTAAATTATATTTAGTTTTAATTAATTTAAATTAAATTGTGACACGTGACTAGTGGCTGTCGCCTTAGAGCAAGCATAGTGGAAAGAATATGGGGATTTGAGTCAGACAAGGTTTGCATCTTGATTTTACTACTTACTAGCTGTGTGATCATGAGTGAGTTGCTTAACTTCTCTGAGCCTCACTCACCTCATTTGTTGAGTGGGAATAATTATCCCCATCCTGCGGTGCTGTCGTCAGTATCGAGCCCGAAGTAGTCTTGGCTGTGTGTCTACTGCCAACTGTGCCCTCTCTGGGCGTCTGTTTCATCACCTTCAAATTCTCTCAGGCCTCTCTGTCTTTGACCCCTGGGAATTTAAGGTGGAGTGTGGGGATTTGAGGAGCCCTGGTGGTGCAGAGGTTAAAGTACTTGGCTGCTAACCAAAAAAGTCAGCAGTTTGAACCTACCAGCCGCTCTGTGGGAGAGCAATGAGCCAAGCTGCTTCTGTAAAGATTTGCAACCCTGGAAACCCTATGGGGCAGTCCTCCTCTGCTCTACAGGGTCACTATGAGTCAGAATTGATTTGGCAGGAATGGTTGGGTTTTGGTTTGGTGGGCTTGGGCAGAATTTGTTCCGGGGTCTGATAAAAAGTGCCAGGGGAGTGGTAGCTGCATCATCTGGGAACATCCATGGCTTCCCCTCACAGACAGCTTCTGGGAGCCACTGGGTGGAAAGGCTGCCTACCGCACGTCCCCGCGGCTGAAGGACAAGAAGATGGACGCCCACCCTCCTCGTCTCTTTGCCTGCTCCAACAAAATCGGACGTTTTGTGGTGAGGCCCTGCCAAGATCACTACTTCTGCTTTCCTCTCAGGGGCAGGTTCCAAGGAGGAAGGGGGTGTCAGTGGCAGAGGCAAGGGAAACAGTTCTGATGGCATAGCATAGAGGAAGGAAGGGGGCCCCCTTCTGGCTGGAATTCACTCTGTAACTTCCAGGTGGGGCAGGAATTGAGCAAGCACTCAGAGGAGGGAAAATGTCTTGGTGATACTCTTTCATTAACCCCTTTTATTCCTCTCCAGATCGAAGAGGTTCCTGGAGAGCTCATGCAAGAAGATCTAGCCACTGATGATGTCATGCTCCTGGACACCTGGGACCAGGTGGGTGGAGGACAGAGGTGAAGGTTCTTTGAGCCCGAGGAAATGGGATAAGCTAGACTTCCAGTTCTAGGATCAGTTGCCAAAAGGGCTTAAAGGAGGCAGCCAGCACAAGGTGTTACAGGAAAAGTCCTTCAGCTACTGAAAATTTCTGAGTTTTTGTTCCTCATCTGGAAATGGGACTGATGGGACCTCCTTTGCACAATCCCATAAAATGGGATACAGGTAAAATCACCTTACAAACCCAAAGCACCAGATAAGTGCCAATCAGGTGATGTCTTCATTCTCTAGTCCCAGGATTGATGAAAAACGTGCCAGTCCACTTTGCCTCTCTTATATCTGTTAACTTGTATCTGGTGAAACTTACTCAACCGACTCAGGGTCCCCGTTCATCATTACTTGATCATACCCCTGCTCAGGCGAAGGCCTCCCTGAGAGCATAGTACCTAAGGCATTTGACTGCTAACCAGAAAGCTGCTGGTTCAAACCCACCAGCCACTCCTCAGAAGGAAGGTTGGGTGATCTACTTCCATAGTGACACCACCTCGAAAACCCAAGGAGAGGTTGCTAGGAGTCGGATCTGACTCAATGGCAATGCGTTTGGTTTTTTTTTATGAACTCTACCTTTAAGGGGATAATTCATGAACTTTTAGAGAGGGATCTCAAACTCAGTGCCTGATGGCACCTGGCATTGGTAATGTCAGTAGGTGAAGCAGGCTGGGATGGGGAGACATGAAGGAGTAGTGTGGCCTGAGACAAACTGGAACTGCCCATCTAAAGGGCAGCCACTGCTCAGCTTCATCTAAGTGAGCATAAAGACCCGGCATTGCCAGATCCTTCCATTTTTCAGGAAAAGTTGGAAATAGAGATTTTTATGTAATCAACTAGTAGCTAAATTTGTTTAAAAAGATATTGCAAGCCAACATTGGCTAATGGGTGAGCAAATAAACCATGTCTATAGGTCACCAGTTTGCCACCTCTGTTCCACATAGTTCTGTGGGTTCTGTCTTTGATGGCTTCATCCAGCCCAGCACCTGGACGCCCACCATTCTCCCTCCAGTAGCAAGTTTTGTCAGTACGCCTCATACGCTTTTTATTTCATATCTCACCTCCAGGTCTTTGTCTGGGTTGGAAAGGATTCTCAAGAAGAGGAAAAGATGGAAGCCTTGACCTCTGGTGAGGACCCAAGTCTGTCTGTTTCATGTGATGTGGTGGGAGCCACTTCCTGTGTAGGGCTGGGAATCACAACTATGGGTTGGGAACTTCCTCATCTGTAGAAAGCCCTTCATAAGCCCTGTCTGGTGCAAGGGCAGTTCAGTTCCTTCAGAAAGCTCCAGGGTATAACAGGGGAGCGGACCCCACTTCAGGTTGTCAGAATGCCCCAAGGTTTAGATGTTGGAATGCAGATTCCTAGGAGCTGAATAGCTCTGCTCTGGGAGCAGGGACCCCAACCACTGATTCTTTAATAGGGGATAGCAAGACAAAAATGACTTCCAACTATGACCCTGTCCCTCCCTGGGCACTGGTTCCTGGGCAGGGTGGTTGAGGACTCATGAGTGTCATTGCCAGTAAGGGTTGTGGCAGGCAGTAGAACATTAGGACCAAACACTGCATTTGGGAACCCCTACCCTGAACTGCCCTGTCATTGGTGGGGGAGACATTGAAAATCTCTTGGGGTTTCCTTTTCCTCCCTGTGTGTTTGCAGCTAAGCGGTATATCGAGACAGACCCAGCTAATCGGGACAGACGGACCCCCATCACTGTTGTGAAGCAAGGCTTTGAGCCTCCCTCTTTTGTGGGCTGGTTCCTTGGCTGGGATGACAACTACTGGTCTGTGGACCCCTTGGACAGAGCCATGGCTGAACTGGGAGCCTAAGAAGGGGCAGGACCCATCAGTGTCACTGGTCAGTGCCTTTTAGAACTGTCCATCCCTCGAAGAGACCCTACAGTGGGCAGGGCAACTTGGGTGTGTGTTTGTTTTTTTTACATTAGCCAAAAACAGCCTTGCAAAAAGGGTCCTTGCAAATTGTCTCAAATATCTGTGCTTTGGAGATTTAATTCAATAAAAGCTTTTGAAATGTGTTAGACAAGTGTGCCTCAACTGTTTCCTCACTCGAATACTCCTACTTACCCAATAAGTTGCCTCTGCTCTTCCAGAGTACCAAAAAAAAAAAAACCTGGTATCAAGTCAATTCTGACTTATAGCAACTGCCACTGGGTTTCCAAAGAGGTAAATCTTTATGGAAGTAGATTGCCCCATCTTCCTTCTACAGAGCAGCTGGTGGGTTTGAACTGCTAACCTTCTAGTTAAAAATCAAATGCCTTAGGTACTGTGCTAGAGTATGTCCCTGAAAATTCTGAGAATGCCCAGGGTGTTTCACATGGGCCCATGAACTACATTCACCATGTGTGTTGATCCTGGTCCTCCAAGAAGCAGATGCCAAGATGAGATGAAATCAGGGCTTCTGACTGGTTCTTCCTGCTTCAGTCATGGCTGATGAAGTGAAACGGAAACAGACTGAAATTTGTAAAATGTGGGTACCTGAAACAATAACTGTTGTTGTTATGCACCGTTGAGTTGGTCCCAACTCATAGTGACCCCTCCTTGGGTTTCCAAGATGGTATCACTACAGTAGTGGCTGGTAGGTTTGAACTGTCAGCCTTCTGGTTAGCAGTCAAGTGGCTTAGGCACTATGCTACCACAGCTCCCGAAACAATAACCAGAATAGGAAAAATTATGGATTGAAGCCTTGGAATAAGATGTGGGAGACAGGATTATTGGCCAGCACTTTGGAAAGCACCACACATTCAAGGTGGTGCTGTCAGCCACCATCTTTGAACAGGCCATCATATTTCAGACTCTGCCGATCAAGAGATTTGGTTGCTATGCAACATGCATGCTGCCCTTGTTTTCTAAGAGGGAGATTAATTTCCAGTAGGGCATCCATCTGTAATTTTCCCCATTCTGGTTATTGTTCCAGGCACCCATATTTTGCAATATCCAACCTGTCCCACTTTCACTTCATCAGCCGTAACTGAACCAGGAAGAACTAGCTCGAAGCCCTAGATTAAGTGTACAAGGATTTTATTAGGGGAAATGCCTACGTGAAAGGAAATAGGAAGGGAACTGGGGAAGGCTGGGAGAGCTGTCAGACAGAGATGCAAGCCTACCCCTGAGTGAAGCAGAGAAAAGAGGTTGAGGGGAACTGTTCTAGAATGCCTTACAGTCCAGGAAGGTTCAGCTAAGCTATCAAGGAGTCTCTGAGCCAAGAGCAAAGTATTCAGCAAAAGTCAATCAGCCAATAAAGGAGCAGGTGTGTCTTAGTTTCCATGCTACACTCAGTCAGCGGAGAGTGTGGTCTTGAAGCACGTATGAGATGGATTTCAGAGCCAGCAGCCAGGGCCCTTACTCAGTTTCAGTCTCTGTATAGAAAGTCTGCAAGGTGTGTTCTCATAGCTGCCACACCCTCTAACATTTGTCTAAACTTTCCTCTCTTCCTCTGGTTCATATCTACTTTCCCCAAGCTATTTGGCTAAATGTCTCTTCTGCTGCAGCAAAACCATCACAAGAGCTAGCCTTGGATTCTTTCAGTTCACAACCTTTGGAGTGTAGTACAGAGACTTTCCCGGTGACCCATTTGGTTACCTGGACCCTGAATCTCTGCTCATTCTCAGGTGTCACAAACTCCCTCGTGGACATTTCCGTACATTTCTGCTTCTAGACCTTTTCTCTGTAGAGGCTCCAAACTATTTCAAGGAAGCTGCTAGAAGTCAGACCCCATTCCCTTCCCTCCATCCTTCTAGTCTATTCTCATCTGGTTTCCCCCTCCTTGTTTCACACCACCCATCCCTTGTTGTTGTTGTTGTTATGTGCCGTTGAGTAGGACCCGACTCATAGTGAGTCCTCCTTGGGTTTCCGAGGCAGTATCACTACGGAAGTAGATTGCCCCATCTTCCTTCCGAGGAGTGGCTGGTGGGTTTGAACCACCAGCCTTCTGGTTAGCAGTCAAATGCCTTAGGCACTATGCTACCAGAGCTCCCCACCTACCCCTTAGCCTCACCCAAGTCATGGAGTGAAAGGTCCCATGCAAATGACTGTAGGAGAACAAAAGCCAGGTATGAAGCTTTATGTGGTTGAAGGGGTTTGTGTGTGTGTGTTTACACTGTAGTTTCCAAAGCTGCTGATCACTTGAATTACCCAGGGAGCTACTTAAAAGTACAGGTTCCCCAGGGCCCCCCCCCCCCAGAGATTCTGACTCATTGCAGATGTGTTGAAGGACAGTGGAGAGGGAATTTTCCAGGTGAAGAGTGGAGGGAGTGTGGGAGTGATCTTAGGCAGAGGGAGTGGCAAGAAGGAAGGCAGGGAGGTATGAGGGAGAAGTGTGTTCAGGTACAGACATCAGCCCAGTGTGGCCAGAGCAGAGGGCGGGAAGTGCTGGGCCCAGAAGCTGAGAGGTAGGCAGGAGTCAGTTCATGTAGAGCCTTGAATGCCATTCTAAGGGGTTAGGCTTGATCCTGTAACATTTAGCTTTCTTGACCTCAAAAGACTGCTTTCATAGTCAAAGCAATCAGCTGGCAAAGTCCTGGAACAAAAGCAGCATTTAACACAAAGCTTCTAGGGCTTTGCTAGAAGCTGGTAGAGGCCTGTCTAGACAAAGCCAGTTCACATCCTGGAAGCCTGTGGGAGGTCAAATTGCTGGTGGCCCTGCCTGAGTTCTTCATCTCAGTTTACACTGTTAAGAAAGGGTGTGGCTATAGCCTCAGAAAGAGCTCTACAGTGCCCTGAAAAAAGAAATTGCATGGAGCAGTTGAGTTGTTGACTTCATATTTTTCTCTAAAGGGCAAAAGAGTGAATTTGAAACACTATCACTTCAACTACATATTTTCCTATAATTTTAGAGAGACCTTGAACTTCATCATCTGGAATGGAAAAGTCATTATAAAATGTCTGGACAGGTGCCAAAAGGGCATCTCTTGGGAAGAGATTGGTCTGGACTTGGACTCTGTGTCTGATCTTGGACAATTCTGTTCAGTTCAACAGATACGAATTGTGCACTTTGTGCCAAGCTGGGTGCAAGGCTCTAAAGATGTAATACTTAAAAAATTTTTTATCGTACTTTGTGTGAATGTTTATGGAGCAAATTGGTTTTCCATTCAACAATCCATACACATTCTGTTTTGTGACATTCACTGCAATCCCCACAACATACCACTTTTAAAAAGATCTCTCTAAGCCTCAGTATAGTAATACTGTATTAATATAGACTCTAGTAGGAAGTAGAAAAATATTTTAGCAGGGTTTTGCAGCTTTATTCATAATTGCCAAAAAATGGAAGAAACCCAGATGTCTTTCAATAGGTGACTAGATAAACAAATGGTGTTGTTGTTATGTGCCATCGAGTGGGATGTGACTCATAGCGACCCCTCCTTGGGTTTCCGAGGCAGTATCACTACGGAAGTAGATTGCACCATCTTCCTTCCGAGGAGTGGCTGGTGGGCTTGAACTGCCAGCCTTCTGGTTAGCAGTAAAGTGCCTTTAGGCACTACACTACCAGAGCTCCTAAACAAATGGTAGTACCTTCATATAATCATGTATGACTTGGTGAGAATAAGAAATGAGTTATCAGGCTACAAAAAGCCATGGAGGAATCTTAAATGCATAGTTTAGTGAAAGAAGCCAGTCTGAAAATTCTACATACTGTATGGTGTCAACTCTATGATATTCTGGAAAAGGCAAAACTATGGAGATAGTAAAAAGATCAATGGTTGCCAGGAGTTCACGGGGCAGGGCATGAATAAGGAGAGCACAAAACATTTTTAGGGCAGTGAAACTATTCCGTAGGATATTGTGATGATGGACACATGACATGATGCTTTTGCCAAATCCCACAGGACTAGGCAACTCCAAGAGTGAACCCTAATGTAAACTATGGACTTCAGTTAATAATGCATCAGTATCGGTTCTTCCATTGTAACAGATGTACCACTTGAATGCAAGATGTTAATAATAGTAGAAACAGTATACAGATGGGAGAGGTGTGTAGGAACTTTGTATTTTTTGCACAATTTTTCTATACATCTAAACCTGCTCTACCAAATTTGAAAAAAAGAGAGAGAGAGAGAGAGAGAGAGAGAGAGAGAGAGAGAAAGCAGGGCTTTGGCATCAGACCTGTTTTCAAATACTAGCTCCACCACTTCTTAGCAGTGTGGTCTCATCAAAGTTCTTTGCAGTTATCTTAGTTGCAAATGGGAATTAGGACAGTTCCTACCTATTTAGAATTTTTATGAGTATGAAAGAGATAATGTGTGTAAAATGTTTATTAGCACCATATCTGGCCCATGGTAAGTGGTCAAAAATGGTTTTTAATTTTTTTTTTTTAATCGATTTAAAGAGCCTAGCACATAGCAGAGGAACTGTGGTGGCACAGTGGTTAAGTGTTTGTCTGCTAACCAAAAGATCGGTGGTTCAAACTCACCAGCTGCTCTGCAGGAGAAAAGATGAAAACACTGATTCCATAATGACTTACAGCCTTGGAAACCCTATAGGCGCAGTTCTTCTCTGCCTGTTCTATGAATCGGAATTGGAATCAATGCAATGGCAATGGGTTTGGGTTTTTTCTTTTCTTTTTTTGAAAACACATAAGCAGGAGCTATTCTTCATTCCTAGAGGTAATGACTTCCTGTACTGTAGATCAGATAGGATGTTTTTTTGCCATGTTGTTGTTGTTATGTGCTGGCGAGTCGGACTTGACTCATAGCAACCCCTTCATGGGTTTCCGAGGCAGTATCACTATGGAAGTAGATTGCCCCATCTTCCTTCCGAGGAGTGGCTGGTGGGTTTGAACACCGACAGCCTTCTGATTAGCAGTCAAGTGCCTTAGGCACTACACCAAGATGAACTCAAACCAAATTAACCTATAAGCACACTTTATGTGCTCTCATAAATGATAGTCTAGAGTTTAGGAGAGCTTCATGATTAACTACACCCAATGGCTCGGGGTTTCTTTGGTTGATTCCCTTGGCTGTCCCTTCCCCAGTCTGACAGTGAAATAGCTGTAGATGTTATGGCTCTCAACCTGTGC